ATTAATGACCTGTCCACACTAATTGGATAGCCATAAACTATAGGTTTTATAACCCATATATTTTTTGATTGGAAAAAAAAAAAAAAAATTATTGCAAATCAATAAAAGATCGGATCAATTTGGTAAAATGATATCACAAGATCTCAAAATGAGATAAAAACTTCCACATAATGAATGATTCAAGCCTCCATCTATAAAATGAAATATATTGGTGAAAAGTATACATTATAGTTTTAGAAGACTTCTTTTTTTTTTTTGGGAGAATTTCAGTTAGATTTTAAAAACTTATTAAAAAAAGTGATAAATTTTATAAATATTAATAATTAAAACTATATATTTTTCCATGGTTGTGTAATAAGTTTTAAAAATTATCACTAAATAGTAATTTTTCCCCCTTTTTACTCTTGTACTTTCTCTACATACTTTACACACTAATATTAATCCACCAAGGATCCTCTAGAGTGAAATTTCCCTAAAGTTTCCTAGAGTGCTACATTGTGTGGTTGAGATTTACTGGCAAGTCACATCAGAAAAATTGATGTGACTTGCCAGTAAATCTCAACTACACAATGTAACACTTCATGAAACTTTAGGAAAAAATTACTCTAGAGGATCCTTGCTCATATTAATCACAACCCATCGCAACTGCTAGCGCCACTAGTAACAATCTTTAGGACTATTGTCCGGTTGATCTAATACTATGAATGTACAAGGTTGTTACGGATGTGATGGTGAATTTGAGGAGTCTGTAAAACTTATCAAGAGTCTTATTTTAAAGATTCAAATCATTTATTTTGTAAAGTCCTTCAATGTATATCACCTATAAAAAATTATGTCAATATATATTTTTTAACATTAACAACAATCTTAAAGGTTATTTTCAATATTTTTCATAAACTTATAATTAAATTTTAATAATACTAAGAATTATTGGTAATTTTTATTGGTAACTCCTTCATGTGGAGTTTTCAACCAATTTATTATTAAAAACTACAACACTTTGCTTAATTTCAAAATGTGAATAATTATTTCTTTCCACAGGTACACAATTTATATGCAGAGAGAGACTCTGTGAGTTGGTCAAATGAAACTTTTCCAAGTCTCACATAGGCATTAATACAAAAAATTACTGACCGGTACTTGGGAGTTAGACTATCTGTATTACTGACTTGGGACTTGGACTAATCGATCCGTTTAAGAAGTTAGTTATTTCAGTAAGGTATTTTAATAATTAGTTATTTTAATATAATTAAAATAATTGTGTTTGGAAAGAAGATTAATTTTTTTTAATGTTGAATGTAATGTCTGTGAGATAAAAAATAAAATAACTATAAAATTGATATGACATTTTATCTTATTAACTATTTTAATATATTTTATCTTTTAGTATTATTTTAGTTCAAAAGGCCAAAAAAAAAAAGTCTCTTCCCAAACACCACATCAACAATAATCAAAGACGTGTCACTAACGCACTAAGAAAGATGGAACCATTTCTTTATTGGTGGTGATACATGCATCAATTAGTGTATTAATTAGTGTACCAACACTAATTATAACATTATTATTGACCCCACTCATTACACAAATTACAAATACCAAAAATATCTTAAATTATGTCACATTATTAATTGATATACTAATTAATACACTGATTAATGCATATAATATTATTCTTTCTTTGTTGACCCTAGATATTTAAAAGACCAATGCCCATGTTTAACACGCCCGAGTTGGTGCTTGTTTGACGGATTAAAGTTAGATAAAATTACGAGTATAATGAAATTAATAATATAGTGATCTTATATTAAAAACATAAGATAAAATATATTTATTTATGTTCTATTGTGGTGATATTAATTAATTGAAATTAAATTTATAATTAAATTACGTAAAACCCTTATTACTTACAAAGTAATTTTGTTAATTTTATAAAATGAGAGACAAAATAGTCATTTAGCCACCAATTCATGAGATTCAACTAGTAATCCCAACTCTCATATAGGACTGCTAATCTCACCATGAGAGGAAATTGATAGTCCTCTATAATTACTATTAGCAATCTCATGCCGTTTTACTACAAACAAACATGATCTAAGTGGTACTCATGAATTACTAATCTAATTCCTCTCTCCAAAACCTCAATAAAACATGGCCTAGGTGCACAATTAAGACGGGTTTGATCGGATTGAGAGTTTATCTAAATTTAGCTCGAATTATGTTGAGAGTTATCCAAGCTCACTCATACTTAATTTGTAGTCCAAATTAGTTTAAAAATCGAATTGTGATGAGAATTTTCCAAGCTCGCTCATGTTTAATTTGCGGTCCGAACTTGTTTAAATTGTAATAAATCAAACTAAGCTTTTAATTTTCTTCGTATCATACCATACACTTTAAATTTTATGAGTAATAATTTCAATCATCTGTCCATTTCCATTAAGTCATTTAACAAATTATTTTATTTTTTAAAAAAATATTTATGGATGGCATATTGTCATTTGTCCTTTATTTTTTTATTTTAAAAAACAAATCTTAATTTTAAACTTCTCACACCATGTCCAAAATATCATTATCAAGTATCTATTGGGAAACTAATAACAACAATAATAAAAAATTTTAAAAAATCATACATCTTGAAACTTACACATACCTAACCACCTGGAACAACCCTCCTTTATTCCCATCCCAGGCCACACGGCCTGTTTGGTTGAATTTTTTTTAAGGTAAAAGTTGATAATTAGAAAGTAGAAACTAAATATATTCCTATCTCAGCTTTCAAATAATCAATTTTTTTCAATTTATGTAAGCTATTTTTGCCTAATAAGTTATAAGCAGAAGCTGTACCAAACAGTCTGACACAAACTCCCAAATCAAAATAAGCTATAATCACCTCCACAAACTGTAACAAACAGTCCCTACATCTCCTTCCCCACCATGACCACCGCCACTGTTATCATCCCCCCAACTTCCAGCAATTCAACATTCTTTTCCCCCACACACCCACAGCAGCTCCGTCGCACAGACAGATCGACAAAGATCGATCGATAGATTGATACGAGATCCCCACAAAAGTTAGAACAATAATTCAACATAAAATTCGAACAAAATCGCTAGATTTGAACAAATATTGTCCATTTCTTTCTTTGAAAATATGTTTGAAATCCATGGTGGATCTTAACGGAAATGGGAAGAAAAAATTGTAGCACTTATTCATGGTTTCGTTAGTCACACGATAGAGGCTGTATTTGGATCATCAATTTGGATAGAAATTTGAAAAATAAAAGCAAAAAAGTAAGTAAAATTTGAATGAAATATAATTACATTTCACCAACATTTTCTCTTTCTCTTTCCATTTTCAAATATATATCAAAATTTATGATTCAAACACAATTTAAAGGTTTTGGTGATGGGAAAAAGAGGTGGCGGCGGCTGATCTGGGCGGTTGGTTGGATTGCCTGGTGTCTCTACTCATGTCTCGCTCAAATTTTTGTCCAAGTCTCGACCAAATTAAAATATATATTGCGTGAACCCTAAAATGATTTTGGACTGTTGAGTTTGCTCAATTTACACCCCTAATTAGAGCCAGATTTCAAGAGGAATAGGGAGGGTGCCAACTTGAGCAACTAGAGTTTAACTCTCAAAATTTTAGAGGTTAGCGACTCTTATCAATCTAAACTCTATTGTTAAAATATATAATTACATATAATAAACATAAAATATGCCTATAAAATACCAATTACTTTTATACAGTAAGATTTAATCATATTGCAATGTAATTAATTCTAATGTTTGGTGTGTATAACTCAAATTAATTTTTTTTATATGGTCCCTATTTGCAATTTTTTTTTTTTTTTTCCTTCTTTCCAGAAAGTGTACTGTATTGGTTTAGGACAACTCAGGTTAAATTTTTTTATGTTAATTCAAGTAAATCCTTCTATACTTCAAGCTGAATTTGAGCAGACCCCCAAGCTGAATTTTTTTTATGTTAATTCGGTCAAGTCGCAGCACTTAGACGAAATCTGCAGAAACAGTAAAAAATGTGTGAGATCACACACTTATCTAACCAATAACCCAACCACAACGATGTTAAAAAATTGAGAGGAAATTTTAGTCCTCCAAATTATTACTCAAAAATTAATTCAACTTCTATCTTTTTATTATACTAATTTTATATTTAAATTATTCGATTTTGAATCAATTTTTGTAGTATAGATTTTTACCAACCCAGTTTTCAACTTACTACTAATGGATCAGTCCTATGAAAATTTATTAAGGGGATAAACTAGTTGCAATTGCTATGAAAGAGACCGAGAATAAATTAGAAAATTTGGACTCAATTAATTCTCTTAGAACCGGCTCAAGATAAGTATATAAACTATAACTCAATAGTGCAAAAAAAGTGCCTAGAGTAATTTATTTCTTGATTTCCACACAAGCACTTTTTCTTCTATTTTTCAGTATAATATTAGGTCAGTTCAACATTCATGTAGCTAGGTTCTTTCCAAGAACTTCCCTAAAGCTAAAGATCAAAGATAAGGGGAATCGTTTTGGGGAAATAATAGTACAGTGGTAATAGTCAAAACAAATTACAAAATCATAAAAAAGTATAATATTTACCACAGTCAAAACAAATTACAAAATCATAAAAAAGTATAATATTTTAATTATTAAAGTGTATAAACTTTTTCATTGATTTGTAAAATTTTTTTTTGACTGATACACTACAATGTTATTTCCCATTAGGTTTTCTTCACTAATTAAGACACAAAACCTCAATGTGTGTAACGGACTCAAGTCAACCATCATTTTACCTTAGAGAAAATTACATATATGGGACCCAATTACAAAGACTTCCAAGTTCAAAGTTTACAAAGACTTCCAAGTTCAAAGTCTATATAGGATAAACAGTATTGGAAAATTTGTGCATAAATTAGAGCCTTGAAACACCCATTAGTTATCCACCAAAGGGGGTGAAAAGGAAAAAAGAATTAAAAAAAAAGGCAATGGGACCTTTAGAGAAACTACTCTACCTTTTTTCCTTAGTCCTGTTTGTTGCACCCTTTTCTTCAACCATTAAAATTGCTCCTGCTTCTGCTGAAGAAGCTAATGCTCTCCTCACATGGAAAACCAGCCTGCAAAGTGCAAACGATTCCCTGCTAACTTCATGGGTCCTTCTACCCCATGATAATGGCTCAACAAATGTAAGTCCCTGCAATTGGTTTGGAGTTTCTTGCAACCTTGATGGAAGCATCATTAGATTGAACCTCACAAGTTCAAGTGTAAATGGTACGCTCGACAACTTTTTTTTTTCATTGTTTCCCAATCTTGCATATATCGAGCTCAGCATCAATAAATTCTTTGGTGTCATCCCACCTCTAATTGGTTCCCTCTCCAAACCCATCTATCTTGATTTGTCCACCAACCAGTTCTCAGGAATCATCCCACTAGAAATCGGCCTGCTAACAAATCTTGAAACTCTCCACGTGTTCGATAATCAGTTGAATGGCTCAATTCCTCGAGAGATAGGCCAGTTAAAGTCTCTAATTGAGCTTACTTTGTACACCAACAGTCTTTCCGGTCCCATTCCTACTTCTTTAACCAATTTGAGAAACTTGACTCATTTATATCTTTATCAAAATGATCTTTCTGGTTCCATTCCTCCCGAAATGGGAAACCTAGTCAGTCTTGTTGAGCTCTACGGATGGCAACAATCTCACAGGTTCTATTCCTTCCACATTGGGAAACTTGAATAACCTAACTATGTTGCACTTGTTCAACAATTCCCTATCCGGTTCCATTCCCCAAGAGATAGGACAGTTGAAATCACTAAAGAGCCTAGCCTTTCATACCAACAATCTTACTGGCTCAATCCCAACATCTTTAGGTGATTTGAGCTCTCTAGCCAAACTAGACCTTTGGAATAATCAACTCTTTGGTCCAATTCCTAAGGAATTAGGGAACTTGAAGTCCCTCATTTATCTGGAATTAAGTTCGAATCAACTTAGTGGTCCCATTCCAGCTTCTTTAGGTGATTTGACCAATTTAGAAATTCTAAACCTCCGTTCCAACCGACTATCCAACTGTATTCCACGAGAATTTGGCAATTTGAAAAAATTGGTTGAGCTAGTAATGGATGCAAATCTATTTTCTGGGAATCTCCCAGAGCTTTGCTAAGGTGGTAAACTTCAATACTTTACAGTGTACCACAATCAGCTCACAGGTACAATTCCTAAAAGTCTGAGAAACTGCTCAAGCTTAGCCACACCCCGCTTTGAGGGAAACCAACTCACTGGAAATATATTTGAAGATTTTGGCACTAATCCAAACCTGGTCTACCTAGATCTGAGTAACAATAATTTTTATGGCAAATTCTCAAAAAATTGGGGAATATTCCCAAATTTGACACTCCTAAAAATAGCAAAAAATAACATCACTGGTAGCATTCCACCAGGGTTTGAAAAGTCAACACGGCTAGAACGACTTGATTTATCTTCAAATCATTTAGTTGGGGAGATCCCAAAGGAATTTGGAAAGTTGACTTCTTTGGAGTGGCTGATTTTGGCTGACAATTAGCTTTCGGGTTGGATACCTCAAGAACTCAGATCGGTAACTAAGTTGTCAAAACTTGATCTATCCACGAACAAGTTTAGTGGGCCAATACCAAGTATTTGGGAGAACTATCGAAATCTGTTTTACTTGAACCTAAGCAACAACATGTTCAACCAGAAAATTCCATTACATATTGGTAAGTTATTTCAACTAACCGAGATGGATCTGAGTAGTAACATTCTTATAGAGGAAATACCATTGGAAATCACAAATTTGCTAAGCTTGGAGAAGTTGAACCTCTCCCACAATAAACTCTCTGGTCTCATTCCAAAGAGTTTTGAGGATATGCGTGGCTTGGCATATGTTGATCTATCGTACAATCAATTGCAAGGTCCTATTCCCATGAGCAACGCCTTCATGAATGCATCAATAGAAGCACTACAAGGGAACAAAGATTTGTGTGGAAATGTCAAAGGCTTGCAGCCTTGCAAAATTCTTTCTGCAATACACAAACACACTCTAGAAAAAGGGACACTTGTTCTTATAATCGTGCTCCCTCTTGGTGGAGCACTCTTACTTTTAGGTGCATTCATCGAACTTTTCATCATCTTCGATTCAAGAAATAGAAAGTCACAAGTTGAAAAGGGTGACACCCAAACCCCAAATGAAGATTTGTTATCAATATCAATACTCGATGGAAGAACAATGTACAAAGACATTGTAAAAGCTACCAAGGATTTTGATGCCACATATTGTATTGGAAAAGGAGGATACGGAACTGTCTACAGAGCGAAGTTACCATCAGCTAATATAGTAGCTGTGAAGAAACTTCATCCGTTATCCGAGAGGGCTGATAGGAAAGATTTCTTAAACGAGGTAAGGGCATTGACAGAAATTAAGCATCGAAACATAGTGAAGCTCTTTGCATTTTGTTCGCATGCTCAACACTCTTTTCTAGTTTATGAGTACCTCGAAAGAGGTAGTTTGGCTGCAATTTTCAACAAAGATGAAGAAGCTAAAGAATTGGATTGGCCAAAGCGGGTGAATATTATTAACGGTGTGGCAAGCGCTTTGTCATACATGCACCATGATTGCACACCGCCCATTGTTCACAGAGACATTTCCGGCAACAATGTTTTGATTGATGAGGAGTATGAGGCTCGTATTTCGGACTTTGGCATTGCCAAGCTTTTGAAACTAGATTCCTCTAACTGGAGTACATTTGCAGGCACATACGGATATGTTGCACCAGGTAAACATTGTTTTATGCTCTACTAAATTGATATAGAATCTAAAGTGTAACAAAACAAGTTCATGATCATATGTCTCTTTTTTTACAAAGCTTGCTTACACAATGAAGGTAACTGAAAAGTGTGATGTTTATAGCTTTGGTGTGTTGGCACTGGAAGTGATTAAAGGAAAGCATCCGGGAGACTTCATCACCTTCCTGTTGACCCCAGCTGTTGAGAACATACAACTAAAGGATGTATTGGACCAACGCCTTTCACCTCCCTCCCCTGAAGTTGAGGAGGTAGTGATGCGTAGTGTAAAATTGGCAATTGCATGTTTGCATGTCAATCCACAATCTAGGCCAACCATGTACATTGTTTCTCAATTGCTATCCACTCAAAAAATTTCGTAGAGCCTCACCTATGTACACAGAATTACTGCCCATAAAAATGCACAAAATTGATCGCTTTCTATTCTTTATATTTTTCCGTGCACTAATTTTGTGCGCTTAGCAAAACTCAACCCTTGTAGACTTGTGCACTGATAGTGCAAAGCTATTTTGTTTAGTATGTTAGATATTAGATAAAACCCAGTCCTCTCTATTTCCTAATACAATATACTTTTTATATTGGGGGTTTTATTGTAAAAATAAATATTGAACAGTGAAAATCAATAAAATGAGAGATGTAGCCTTGGGACTTTTTGTGTCGTGTTGTATGGTAGTAGCCGAACCACACACACATGGTGTGGCTTCTCTCTTTATTGTTATCTTATTTATTTTGTTTTGTTTTGTTTTATTTTTATTTTTATTTTTATTTTTATTTTTCTTGAATGTTAACCTTGTAGCACCAAAAAATGTTGGATTCTTTTATATTGATTTGAAAAAGCAATGTTGGGATGCTATTTTCCATTGAATAATTTATGTATAAATTACCAAAATGGTACAAATTTGATGATGGTGGTGGTGAGTTTGTGGCGGTGATTCTGAGTTTGATGGCGATTTGAGATTTGGTGAATAGGGCAGAAGGTGGTGGTTGGCAGGGAAGGAGGTGGTGGCTTATGGCGTAAATCGATTAACATGTTAGGAAGAGTCCATGACAAGCTTGATTCACTTTTTCTATTACAAATACAATCACAAATTTCATCAAATGATATACTGCAAATTTGTTAAACTAGACGCAAAAAGTGATAACTTATATGTTGGGTGCTAAGCCTTAAGTGACAGAGATATGGTTTGGCGAAGCATGTGTATTTGTATTTGTAATTCAGCTACTCCTTTTTTTTTTCTTTTTTTTTTTTTTTGGAAGATTAGAATTTTTCTTTTGATTAAGAAATTTGTAAACAAGTTGTGAACAAAGTATTAGTTAAGTTGATTTGTTGTTATCTCAGAGCTCTTTTCACATTCTAACCATGACGTATGTAATTTGTAAAAATTTGGATACCATTTATTTAAGAAGTATAAATTACCCATTTATAAAAAATAAAAATAAAAATAAAAATAAATTGTAAATTTAATCTCAAAGCTTTTGACATTTTGTGAGAGAAGAATGTAATGATTATAGGTTGGATGTGATGTTTTGTTTGTTATGGCTAAAATAGCCTATTTTGTTTTTTGTGGCTAAAATAGTCAAAAAAACCTGAAAACCATCTTGCCAAACAGAGGCTTAATACATGGCTGGCTATGAGGTTGAGATTCTGAACTTGGGCTCCGAAATCGATGAATTGTTGATGAGAAGCTCATTGAGTTTCCTCCTCAGGATTGGGTGAATCAGTGAATCAACATCAATGATCGTTGTGGAGTGACATTTGGGACAAACAGAGTGGACTGCCGTCAAATAGTCGTCCGTTCAAACAAACGATATCGTTTTGAAGATTTCATCCACAGAATCAAAACGAATTTTTGGGATTAGGAGAGAGGATCCAAATGCATAAATTAATGGGAAAATTACCGAATATACTTCTAAAAAAACTATTACACGCTCATGAAACAAATTGTGATTTTAATAATTAATATTTGTAAAATTTATCATTTATTTGTAATTAATTTTTAAAATTTAAATAGAATTGAAATTTTCCATAAGTTAATAACTTTCATAAATTATTTTTATTTATTAATGTGATATTTACTATATTATTATAATTGATTTTTTTGTTTTTAAATATTTGAATTCTATCGTTAATTATTTGTTTTAATTTTAAAGATATACCTTATCAAATATATAAGGGTCATTTTTTGATAAATTCTCTTTCTAAGTGTTTATTCCATCTAACTCATATTCTTTTTTAGTATTCCATTAAGTCATGTTTAATATAATATGACCAAATCATCCTTTCTAATTTTTTACACATATTTATATTTTGAAAATAATACATAACAATGTTCCCTCATTTTATAAAGAAAATATTTTCCTCATTCTAAAGAGAAAATTTTTCCCTTATTTCATGGAGAAAATATCTCTTATTCTAAGGAGAAATTCTCTCTCGCATACCATTGAGAAAATCTCAAATTATGAAATTTGAACCATTTTATAATTTGAAAATTTTAAAAATAACGCAACAAAAAATCTGAATGAAAATCAAAATACAATGTGAATGTACACATTAAACAACAAACACACAACTAATTTTTGAAAAAACAAAACACATACTAAAGTACAACGTGAATGTTAATAATAAATAACAACTAACCTCCGAAAAATAAAATTCATACCAAAATACAATGTGAATGTTCACAATTTAATATTAATATACAACTAGCCTTAAAAAAATAACTCATATTATGTAAACATTTACATTGTAACATGAAATCTGCCATAAAGAAGTAACAAAAAGTGTGGGATCAATAAAAGGATGAGATTTAGACTTTAAAGAAGATTCCACCCAAATTTTGAAAGATAAATTCCTGCAATTAAACATCCAAGAAACACAATTCAAACCCGTCCAGATAGATGTAGCTTTGGGACAGTTAATTATATGCTTATTGTTTTTGTTACTATACTTGTTAGTTAAACAATCATTTTTGTTTTTGTTTTTTTTTCATGAACAAAAATGATTGTTTAACTAACAAGTATAGTAACAAAAACAATAAGCATATAATTAACTTTCGAAAAAATAAAACTTATACCAAAATACAATGTGAATGTTTACAATTTACAATTAATATAAAAATAAAAAATAAAAACTTATACCAATATGAACATTCACACTGGCCTCTTTTGGGAAGTGAGTTATAATCCACTTCTCGGATTATAACCCACTTCCTCTCTTATAAGCAGTTTTTTACCAAAAAACTTATTATAACCATCTTCTCAAAATAGCACATCTAACGTAAAAACATAAGATAAAATTGAAAAAAGTAAAAATCGATTATTTTGATTGTTCAATGGTAACAAAAACGATTGTTCAATCAACAGGCATAGTAAAAAAAATAACAAAATACAACTTTCGAAAAAACTTCAAAAAAAAAATTCATACCAAAATACAATGTGAATGTTTACAATTTACAATTAACATACAACTAACCTTAAAAAAACTAAATTCATACAAATATGAATATTCACACTAAAACATGAAACAAAATTGAAAGAAAAAAATGACTATTTCAATTGTTTAATGATAACAAAAAAATAATTGTTTAACCAACAAATATAGTAACAAATAACTAATGATATGTGAACATTCACATATTACAAAATATATAATTATGTCCATATCTATATTCTAACACTTATTTCTCAGACTTTCAAATAATGTGAAATGTGAACATTCATACCGATTGACCAAAAAAAAAATAGAAACAATAGCAATAATAGAATTAGAAATCCAAAAAAAAAAAAAAACTCAATCACTCTAAAAATAAAAATAAAAACATCACCACATCCTCATTTTTATCATTATCATTATCATTAACAATCTATGCAATTTTATCATTTCACCAATCCAAATCAAATCAAACCCATTTTTGAAGCATATGTTTGTAACAAAATTGACTGGACATAAACAGAGTTTTGACTTACAATAATGGAGAAATATAGAATTTTGAATACAGAGTAACAATGGACGAATACAGAACTTCAAACACAAATTGACAATGGAGGAATGCAAAGCTTCACTGCAATAATGGAAGAACATAATATTATTTCACCACTATGTGTAAACTAAAGTTTCTAAACCCTACTAAATAGAGAGTTTCGAAACCCTAGCACAATGAAACAATACCACAAATGTGAATGAAACTGGTCCCAAAAAAAATGTGAATAATGGTAACTACCAAAATAGAGGTAGTAACAAAAAGAAAACGTGTATATTCTTTTTTTATGTAATACATATTAACAATAGACATAAGAGTATAATAGTCCAACAATCAATATAAATTAAAAAAAAAGGACCTCATGAAATAACAATATAAATACCTAGGACTAACAAAGTTATAATTTTTCTTGGTAGACTTGTTAAGTTAGAACATCTGTAAATGAGATTTATCAATAAAAAAAACCCAATATATAATGGTGAAAAGTATAAATCATTGTTTTACTTTATTTACCTATTTTCATTTTTATCCTTTTGTACCTTTCTATCTCTACTTTCTTTATATATTTTTACAAACTATTATTAACTGTCCCCCCACTGCCACCGCCTGCACAAGAAAATTGCCAAAATTTTGCTCATGTTGAAAAAGTTGCCAATGACCAGTGGCAACCACAAATAGACAAGTGGACAAACATAAAAATAATTCAAACAGCAATGATAGAGGCCTTCATAAAATACAATCTCTGACAACTGTTAAAATGATCTGAGCCATTCATATCACTATCAGATATTAAAATAAAATAAAAAATTCAAACACATCAATAGTCAATACATCAGTGAGGGCCGTAGAACCCTCCTTTGTGGGGTTCCCAAATATTTTCCTAATTCAAATTATTATTCTTCATATAGATAAAAAAGAATAAAATTTGGGACCTAAAATTTTTAAATTTAGACTTATGACCCTAGTGTCTAAAATGCAAACAAAAGTTGTACTAAATATTTAGTACAAAGACCGAAAAATAGAATAAAAAATAATAAAAGCATTCACAGATATAAATTGTACCAAACTAGACATGTGTTGAGGTCAAATACTCAAATATGGGATACACAAGAGAAGATGGGGGCTTTGTACAGAATTTAAGCAGCTAGTGCTACAGCCTGTACAGAATAGAAAAGCTTAATATTATCGGGCAAAAATAGCTTGCTTGCATATTTGCATGCTCCTAGAATGTTGAAGTATCCATGTAGGAGGTTCCATATCATCAAAAATTGTTTTCATGCCGCTTATCATTTATACAATTCCAAATGGCATACTAAACAGTAATCACAAGTAACTCATCAGTAGTATTTATCTCAAACCTTCAGCAAATAAAAGTAAAATAGTCCATAAAAAAATCCAGGCAGTGCATTGCATTGCATTTAGACAAGTGGAAGCAAAAATTCATCGCGATCCTTTGCAATCTGGTACATTCAGAGTATTAGATCAACAAAACAACAAAATATTACAACTCATATCCACAATTCAACAAGATGGGTAGCAAAACTTGCTCTTTTTTTTTACACTCATTCTTGGTAGAGAGCAGCACAAAATTCTGACTGTTAGATAATCTACAACTGGCAGCCCTAAGAAAGATGAGGGTAGTTATTATTAGTGAACATGGCAGTACTTCTGGGAAAACAACAACACTTTCTCGCCACAGGAAGATCAAAATCACTTCTTCAAGAGGTTGCGCGAGAAAATTTTCTTGCAATATGGACTGGTTCGAAGGAAGGTGTGAGGCCGAACTGCTTCGACCAATGAAGCATGGAGAGAACCCTGGTTTAAGACAAAACATGAAAAACTTCACACATTAGATGCGGTCCCACCGGGTGGAGAGGCATGCTGATACAGGGTGGTTCTTTTCTCTCTCCTGACCCAAAAGTATGACATATCTAGAAATCCTGAACTAAGGGCGCCTAAGGCCAACTTTGAGCCTGAATTTTATATCCTTTTCCAAATTCAAATAAAAGCTCTCCAAAAAACATAAAACGAAAAGAATTGGATTGTGAAACTGAATTTTTAAGAAAATTGGCCAATTTTCAATGTGAAAAATCCAGAATCAGCCAAACAGTCACCAAACTTTCAGATTTTCCTGCCAAATTAATGTTGGAGAAAATGCTAGAGACCCACAATAATGAGACAAGAGAGTTGAACCTCAAGTGTGTAACAAATTAAAAGTTGACACTTATCATGCCACATCATTGTAGGTATAAAATTGGGGAAACGTTTTTAGGAGTCTCAAACATTTTCCTTGACGTCGATAATATGGAAGCAAGTTAATGACATTAGAGGTGTGTGTTGGTTGGTTCCATACCTTAGTATGTTCAAGTGCAGACTGAATGACATAATTGGCAAAAGGGTCTTGCAGCAACTGTTCAAAGTGAGGCACTGAAAGCAATTCATGGATAATTCTTGGGCGGCTCTCTTCAAAGAACTTTAAGCATTTTTCAACCACATGGCTGCTGAATTTTTGCATGGACAGGTAAACGTAGTGGCCTTCAAACTGAGAAATCAAGCTGGCAGCAGCTGAATGGGTCTTAAACTCTATAATATATTGGACAACATAATTTCTGGGATACAAAAAAGGAAATATTGAAGTCAAAATGCAGCATTATACTGTGGCTCGAAGCCCCGGATAAATAATCGCAGCAATCATTAATTGACCAGATTGGTACTTTGGTAGAGGTTTAGGGGGATGCATATAATGCAATAAATAAAAATTATCTAGTGACATGTGAGTTAACCATTAATGTACACAATTAAGAAAGCAATCACAACTATAAGATTCCAAACCCATATGTTATGAGCAGAATCACTACTGAGGCACAGGAGCAGCTTGATTTCTATAAAATAAGCACACCTGCAAAAGCCTAAGAATACACAAAAAGATGGCCAAATAACAACACTTTGATTGAGATCATAGAACGAAAAACTTCATGTATGAAATTGCCCAAGGGAAAATTGGTTTATCTTAATGAAATGCGAAAGTATTAAGGCATGACATTTCACCAATTAAAGAAATTAAAAAGATGATAATTATGATGATTTGATGATGATGATGACAATGATGAATGCTAAATAAAGATGTTAGCGAAGGAATTAACTGTTAACAGAAGATGTTAGCGAATGAATTAACTGTTAACGGAAGATTTGGACCCTAAATAGAGCTTACAGAAGGATTAATGTTTCCAAGAGCAGTTGCTGGGATTAAGGCTTTTTTAGTATTAAGATTTTAAGATTATAAAGAGTGTAGACATTTGAACTAGTATATTGTTATTCCATCACAAATTAAATTATATAAACATATTTATTGATGGCAAAGTAAATAGTTGATGAGAATAATGTTAGAGATACAATTATTCTATTTTCCAATGTAAATAGTAAAATGACCCATTGTCAATACACGACTGCCTACTTAAAACAGTTGGAACGGCCAACAGCAAGCCAATCCATTAATTACATGGGTCAAAATCTCAACCAAAACCCTTAAAATTAATGGACGGAATTGGCGAATTGCCATCCCCATCCACTACACAAGGGTGTCAGATCCCAATGCCGTGCTTATACTTTTTTAGCAATGCAACATAAATCATGCCTTGGCCAAATAGAAGGGAGAACTAGTCAGGATCTGTTAATCTGATAAAAATGACAACAAACATTTTATAAAGCTAGTAATTAATAGGATAAACAAGCTTCGCATGGTTCTCTCACCAGAAGAACCTCTCACATCAATGATTTCCCTCAAGTAAGATAAAAACATTAAACAGTACTTCGCATTTGTTTCAGCAATTCTTCATTTTTTATCTTTTTTTTAACCTGGCCTTTGTTTGATTATCCATTATTACCTTGTTATTATATTCATAATATGACCAAATGGTTTCAAGGAAAAAAACAATAGCATTCCATGAGCTCAATAATTCCCAACAAGAAAGAAAACAAGTAGCGCATTCGTTAAACCATGAAAATGGATGCTTTAGTGTGCACTAATAATGTGTGTAATACTTGAAAATAAATAGCAATGACATCTTTATCTAGTTTGCAGCTGGATTGTTGGATGCCTTCTGTCCTTTTTGGAAATTAACAACCAAGAAGGATTCAAGGATTCTCACATTTGATAATTGAAATCGGGTCAGGTAAAAAACCCTATAATTTACTGTTTAACTGCAAACTCCCATTTAAGAACAGATTAAACAGAGATGAGCTGATTAAATTGATTTGATAGGGTGGTGTGAAATTTTACTATAAAATCAACTAACATATTCATCTCCTTGACCTCAGTAAAGATGTACATCTTGATTGGATCAAAGGACAGCAAAAATACTTGTACCTTAAATATATTGCTATGCGGATTATCCTATCACTTTTAGGCTATGTTTGGATCTTGGATTTGGTTAAGAATTTAGAAAGGGAAATGGAAAAGGTGAGGGAAATGTGAATGAAATATAAGTTAATTTTTTTCTCCATTTCCCTTTCCCTTCCTAAATCCATTATCCAAACACATAGTTAAGATTTTTGTATCAGATTACACCCACACACATGCATGCATATTGCATAACAATTATTCAATCAAAGAAATGGGCTAAGCTCTTGAACTAATTACCCAAAAGCATCTTGAGCAAGGATAAGAGCATGAGCAGCAATTTCTGCAACTAACTTTTCTTGATATTTCCCCTCTGACTTATCAATGCATCGGTTCAAAACACAACATCCATGTTGATGAGTTGCAATATTAACACAGAACTTTGCAGCAGCGTCAAAAATAAACTGCAAAGATTAAAAAACAGAAATGACAAAGAAGATTCAGAATCCATTTTTACATGAATATGGATCTGCCAAAACAAAACAAAACAAAAAAAAAAACAGTAACTAAGTAATCACACTATAGACTACATATTAAACCACATAGGCATGCAATCAGATTATAGGTTTAATGGAATGTGGAAACCATATCTTGTCTAAGGTTCTCCACAGGTTATAAACAGATTGTAGGACAAAGGTTTAGAATGTTTGAAAGGAACCGTGTTGTTACTGCACGCTATTTTGAATGAAATACTCTGTTTTGATGGATTTTCACAAGAATATATGTTCTCAAGTAATATTCCAACAGTGTATACCATAAGAAAGAGGGAAAAAAGAAGAAGAAAAACAGATAATAAAAAAAGAAATAAATAAACAGATAAAAGACTAAAAGAGGAAAAAAGAAAAAGAAAAAAGAAGAAGAAGAAGAAGGGATAGTAGTCCTTAACAGAGAAATGCAGAGAACACCAGGAAAAATGATCATTTGACTAGGGATGCAACAGAATGTGTCAATTGTGTTATGCTTCGGTCCTCAAGACTGGTTTGAGGCTACATAATCAGGTGCAAGTTCATTTTATCCTCATTTATTTGCTTGCTATTTACTATATATGCTTGTCTCCAAGCTAGGTACAGAAATACACTCATTTCATCAAGTACCCCATTCCATCCCATCCCATCCCACTCTACTGGACTGGCGATCAAACAAATATAACAGAAAATGCATCACATTGGACAGAATGTTTCAACCTAAATTGGTGTTGGAACAGAAGGGGAAAAGCGCACTTGTCCTAAAACTAAGCTTGTCATTACTAATTATAACTACATGGAACAAAGCTTAATCTACTCAACTTGATTGAGCATTCCGTACAGAAGCTAATGATGCAATATCTATGGTTCTTATGCTTAAATCAAGCACTATTCTCCATTCATGTTCAGCACACACTGATATGCAAAAATTAAGACATTAGATTAAACATGAGCTGGATTGTCATTTTTGTGCAACTAATCAAAAGGGATGAAAATCTTTACCTTATTATCTTCCTTCCTAAGGCATTGTAAGCAACGTTGTATGACATGATTTCCATTCAAATCCTTAATAAGATCAAGAAAACCTGGTTCAAGAGCTTGCACAACTAACAAAACCTGCTGTCTGGTTTTGAGAGTTTCAATCAACTTCTGCACCACGCGAGTGCTGATACCACCACACCAGTTTAATTTAAAAACAATAAAATCACTCGGAAACATCGTAAGTATGCTGAGAGAGAAGGGAGAAAAAAAAATGAAGCAACAAGTAAAAGAGTTACCCGTGTGCGTTCAAAGAAACTCTGATAAGGTCTCCATGTCCTTCAGTCACCATGAGCACAATATGCATTCTCTGTTCTTCACTGCAGACTTCTAACAATTTCTGCATAAGGTAATTTCCAAATGAATTCATCATGAGTTCAACGACATGATTGATGATTTCATTAAATATTATTTGAACATCTTGACTGGTTCCCTCATCAAATATCTTTTGTAAAAACCGACAACCATGCTGATCCTTGGCCATAAAGTACATACAACCCTGTATCTGAGCTAGTGAACTAAATGTTGGCTGCAAAAGCAATGGACTATAACTCCTTGGGCCCGGACTATTCTTACAAATTCCTTTCAATTGCGATTGACCATGTAGCTCTTGTCTTTTCTCTCGCCGATTATGCATTGCAATTTCATTGCTGGACTTCTTCTTCTGACCTTTAGAACGATTACACCCTTTGTCAACAACATGTTTCAAACTCTTTCCTTGAATAATGAAGCTATCCTCACAACTAAAAGCTTCAACATCCCCTGCATCTGTTATTGACAAAAGAGATGGAGGGACACTGCCATTTGGGATTGCTCTAGTCTTCTCTTTTAACACTAAATTATTATTACATATTGGAACAAGATTAGGATACACCAATTGAGAGGAATTCACTGGATTCAAGGGACTCCTGTCTCTATAAAAACCCATCCCAAGTTTCCGCGAGCAAGACAATTCATCATTCAGATTAGGCAAATTCATAGATGGGTTATGTAACTGAAGTCCACCATTACAAGATAATCTTCGCTGCTGGTTTCTTTGGTCCATAACATAATCTATCTTGCCTTTGTAGCAATTGTGTTCAGAATACAAAGCATTGGAGTGATTGTGAGTAAGATGAGAACCCATCAAATTACCTGCATTGTATCCCTGACACAATCCAAGTATTTTTGCCTTCGTATCATCATCAGAACTCACAGAATTTCCAGGAATTGAAGACTGAAAACCTCCATAGCCATGAATATCACTGTTAAAACCATCAAATGTTCTATAATTTTCAAAATTGCAAGGACTAGGCCCATCTAAATTGCATCCACCAAACCCAAACCCAAACCCAAACCCATATGGATCTATTGGGAATCGCCTAACCTTGGAATAATCCTTACGTGCCTCACCAACATTCAATCTACGAAGATTATCACAGAAAGCAGGCTCATCTAAGACATGTTCATTGGAGTTCTTCACAACAAGAGAATCCAAGTAATGAGTACTCGGTGATCGAAACATCTTGTGGTCCATTTGAGCCATAGATGGTGAAAAACCATCCTCAGAAGAAGAAGACCCACCAGAAAAAGAACTTGAACTAATTGGTGAAACCAAGTGATTATTATTTTGATGATGAAGATGGTGATCAGGAGATGTAATATGAAGGATCTCATTCAACAACATGTCAAGCTCTCCATCACCCCTCATGTTCTCTACAACCCTCTCTTCTTCCTCACCTTTTTTAGCTTTAAACATCACAAAAACACCAATATATAGACAGATAAGAGATACAGAGATAATATAGATAGAAATGGAAAAACGCAATCCAAAATCAGAAAACCCAAATCAGAAAATCAAACTAGGGATGCTAAAGAATGAATATCAATTGGAGATTAAAATCAGCGCACAAGGTACAGTAGAGTAGTGAAGAAATTGCGGTTGTATTTGGCATGCGAATTTGATTTGGTTTTGGGGTTTTGGGGACGAAGATTGAGAAGAGTGAGAGTAGAGAGAGAGAGAGAAGAGATGGATTTCGAGATATTGGTGGGTTTGTTGGGTCTGTTACTGTTCACGCTCACGCCATTAAAATGAAGAGCGAGTCGCCATATGCAAATGCAGAGAGCATAGAGAGAGAGAGAGGCGGAGGAAGAGGAGAGAGAGAGAGGCACACTGGCTCTCCGTATTCTGACTAGGAGAGTTTAGTATTGTTTTTTTTAATTAATAATTGTTTTTGCTCAATTTTTAATATTTTAAATTTAGGGTTATTTGGGATGATGTATATTTTTTATTTTTTACACTCAAAATTTTTTTTTTATGAAATATAAATTGAGCTTGAAGAGGTGATCTGACTTAAATAAGATAATGTGTTGTAATATGTGTTAAAATAGCACATATTATTATAGCATATTATCCTATTTAGATCATATCAGCTCTTTATTTTTTTATACATCTTTTTCACGCTCACGCCATTAAAATGAAGAGCGAGTCGCCATATGCAAATGCAGAGAGCATAGAGAGAGAGAGAGGCGGAGGAAGAGGAGAGAGAGAGAGGCACACTGGCTCTCCGTATTCTGACTAGGAGAGTTTAGTATTGTTTTTTTTAATTAATAATTGTTTTTGCTCAATTTTTAATATTTTAAATTTAGGGTTATTTGGGATGATGTATATTTTTTATTTTTTACACTCAAAAATTTTTTTTTATGAAATATAAATTGAGCTTGAAGAGGTGATTTGACTTAAATAAGATAATGTGTTCTAATATGTGTTAAAATAGCACATATTATTATAATATATTATCCTATTTAGATCATATCAGCTCTTTATTTTTTTATACATCTTTTTATAGAAAATCAAAAAATATATATTTACGTTGTGTTTGATTGGAAAATTTAGGGAAAAATTTAAAAATGAGAAGAAAAAAATATATGTAAAAGTAAATAACATATTTTACTTATTTTTTTATTTTTCTTTTTTAAATAACACCTTTAGATATTAGTTTCTCTGCAGCCAAACAGATTGCTGAATTCCTCACAAACACAACTAACCTAGCGTAATTATATCCCCAAAAAAACTAACCTAGCGCTATTTTCTCCTAAAAGTTGATCTCCAACATAATGACTGAACTACCCTAGTAATTTTATTAAGCATGTGTTAAAAAAGTTTTAAAATATTATATATTTTTTAATACACTCACTTTTCCAACCAAAAAAAAAAAAAAAAAAGATAGTTATGAATTATTAATATTCTACAAAATATTTAAATGATTGTGAGATTCACGCCACATGAGTTTCATGCTCATGCAAATATTTGATAAAATATTTAATAATTTATTTAGAATATCAAATATTATTCATTGTTTGGTCATTATCAAGGACAAAAGAAAAGAATGAAAAGGAAGGTAAATAAAAATTTTATAAGTTATCTGTGTAAGTTTTGTAATTGTTATAGTGTTCCTAGTATAATTATTGAAAATTTATATAAACCCTTGTGGAATTGCCCTTGTCCTTACACTTTTTTTCTTTTTCTTTTTGGTTGAACTTTTATCTGGTATATGCATGAAAAATGAATAAATAATCACAAAGAGGAAACAAATTTTATGTATGTAATTGTGATTTATGTTGTAATTGATAATTAATTATACTCCATTTTAATAATGCTTCATCCAATCCTTTAAAATGCAACTTGCTACATGCAAGATGCAACCATATGTAGGCATTAGGCTCATACTGTTGTAGTTGTTATCTTACCAACTCGGGAAATTTTCACTTTTAAGAGTATTGTTTTAGATGCATAATAACTCTAGGAATTTTTACTTTTAAGAGTATTGTTTTAGATGCATAATGGGTAAAAAATTTACGTACGACAACTTTTTAGGTCTCAAAAGTTGACAAATTAAAGTTATCAAGGTGTTAGGAGAACTTTAACATAGAATAATGGCATTGATTAAGTGAATGAGGTACAAAATTGTGACCACTTCACAAGCACAAGCAATTATTCTCTCATATAGATGTCAAAATGGCCAAGTGTCACAACAAATTAGTTAAATTATTAATTTTATTAAAATAATTAAGCCAAATTCAAAAGAAAATATCTCTAGTAAATTAGTCAAAACACTTTGTTAAAATAATTATAGGGCAAATTACACTAACAGTCCCTATAGTTTGGAACTCGTGTCACTTTAGTTTCTGACTTTTCAATTGTGACACATTTGATCCTGAATTTTGAATCTTATTCTAAATAAAGACAATTGAATATACCATTACTCAATTTCAAGGGCAAAGTAATCAATTTGATAAAATATAAATTAATTTAACAAAAATAAATGCCAAAATTTTTTTTGAATTTTTAAAAATTATTTCTATCCGTCAAAAATAAATTATGTAAAATTAATAAATCTTTTACGCATTTATTTATGGGAAAATTAGTCTAAAGTCCCTCTCCAATTTTTAGTAATGGAACAGATCCACCATATTATTTTGTGATGTCTAAGGTCCCTCAATCATTTATACATATATCACAAAGAAATTTGACCTTACCAAATCAAAACTCATCTCTCTCTCTCTCTCTAAACTTCTCCATTCTCTGACCTCTCCAATTCTACCAAGAAATCCAATCAAAAATTGAATCAAAGTCCTCCACAGGAATGGCTCGTCGATTCACATCCATCCTCAAACAACTCTGCATTCGATTACCATCAAGATCAGTAACGTACATACCCCGATAGAGAGATGGTGCTCTGAGAGCCATCACTCTGATTTCCGGCGACGGAATCGGACTTCTGGTCACCATTGTCGTTAAGCAAGTCATGGAGGCAATGTATACACCGGTGTACTTAGATCGCTACCAAGTCCGAAGTGACATCAAGAACGCGTCTTCGAAGGTGATCAAATCGATCCGCAAAAACAAGGCATGCTTGAAGGGAGGTTTAGGGCTTCTGAATCGTCTCCGAAGGTAACCAGTAGCCGCTGTCGACACTGGTGGTCCAGCCGATGGTGTTTCCTCAGAAACGGCTGTCTCCAATGGTGAATGATTCATATTTTAGGAGGAATTGGAGAAGCAGAGGCAGATGATTGAATTAGAGAAGTAGAGAATGCAATTCGCTAAAGATTTAGAGATTAAAATGATGCAGCTGTTCAAGGATACTCAAGTTCTGCTTGAAAAGATCAAGCAAGCAAAGTGGTCGGGTTCGAATGGTGACAGAAAATGAAATTTCTGAGTTGTGAATTTCTCTGGGTTGAGTGATTTGGAGATGGGGAATTTCTCTGATTTGAATAAATTTATCTGAGTTGTAAAAGGAAATTTCTCTAGTTTTGAGAAAATTTCTCTGGGTTGAAGTGAGTCCAGAGAAATTCTTTCTTGATCCAGAGAAATTCTCTGGATTTCTTTAGTTTAAACTCATAAAAATTTCAAAAGAATCAAATTTTGTTTCTTGGTTGTACTCAGTGCAATAATTTTGTGTATTATCTATCTGGTGTGCACATTTCTTGAAGTGAGTCCAGAGAAATTCTTCACTGGTAAGAACTTCTCTGTGAAGTCCAGAGAAATTCTCTGGATTTCTCTAGTTTAAATTCAGAGAAATTTCAAAAGAATCGAATTTTGTTTCTTGGTCGTACTCAATGCAATAATTTTGTGTATGATCTATCTGGTGTGCACATTTCTTTTTGCATCAGTGTTGCTGGTGGTGTTGTTGTTTTGCCCTTTTTTTTTTTTTTTTTTGAGTTAAAAACCATATCTGTTAGTTCTTTACATAATCTAGAAATTTCTCTGGAAAAGAACAAAGAATTTCTCTGGGTTTGAGAGAATTTCTCTAATCTAGAATTTCTCTGGATAGAATTTCTCTAGAAAGTCTAGAGAAATTCTCTGGATGGAAATTTCTCTGGATTGATTTGAGGGACTTTCGACATTATGAAAATATTGAATATCCTTTATGCTATAAAATTTTAATATCAGGGACCCTAAAAAAAATCCCCCTTTATTTATTTATTTATTTTACCAAATTAATTTTTATTATGTATTTGGATGATGATCATGTAATGAGTAGTTATTAGACTTTTAATGTATAATTGATATATTTAATATATGAAATGTTTTTAGTTTTGGATTTTTAATTTAATAGATTAGTTTAATAATGATATCAAAATTATCGTAATATCTGACTTTTGGAAAAATAGAAACTAATTTAATGAAAATAAAAGCAATCACCTATTACATGATCATCATTCAAACACATAATTAAAATTACTTTGGTAAAAAATAAATAAATAAATGTGTGAAAGATTTATCAATTTTACATAATTTTATCTTCGGTGGGTAGAAATAATTTTTTTTTAATTCAAAATTATTTTTTTGACATTTATTTTTGTCGTAGTAGTTTATATTTTATCAAATTGATGATTTTTCCCTTGAAATTGAGTAATGATATCTTCAATTATCCTTATTTAGAACAAAATTTAAAATTCAAGGTCAAAATAACACGAGCTCTAAACTATAGAAAAGTCATGGATCAAAATAACACGAGCCCTAAATTATAGAAACTGATAAATTAGCTTCTTCTTCTTTTTTTATGTTGTCTCTTAATTTTGTATTCTTCAACTATTTACTATTTTATTTTCTTTTCTCTTTCTTCTTCTTATAAAAGTATTAAATGGTTACTTTAAAAGAATCAACAAAACTTGATTGTTCGAATTTTCATAATTCAAATGGTTCAAATGTCTCAAAACGATTTGATCCATTTAAGCTACACAAATGCCAGTTACTAAGAATTTTTGTAAAAAAATATAGTTATAATAAAGAGCATCTTTGGAGTGTAAAAAACGTGACAAGCTAAATTAACAAAGTGAGATTTTGACTAAAATTCTTAACCAATTTTGCTAAAAATGCTCTAATAAAGCAATGATCTTGACTAATAGCTTATGCAACCCCAAAGAGGCTTGAGTGAACCAACCATAAATAGGAAGATTTTTTTAGTCATTTTACAACTTATTTATTTTGTTTAAATAATCATTTTTAGTATTATTTTTTAAAATAAATTACATTAACCTTCTTGCTAATTTGAAAAAACTATGGTAAACCTCGCAAGTTTAGCATAATTACATTTCATTCAATGGTAGGGTGTTCATAGAAAAGAAGGTGTTGGCCAATGAGTGGCAGATTTTGATCGAGTCTCACT